CGCCTGGCAAAGTTCCAGCGAGCGGCGCCGCGGGATAGGCTTGGCTGAGATGTTAAAGCATAGCGCTGGAAAGCCAAACACCATCGATCATCAGCCGAACCAAGCCGAGCTGAGTTTTTGTAATTGCTGAAAAAACAGTGCCGTCAGCGGAAAAAACTTGCGGATTGTGCGAAAAACGCACCTTCGCACCGGCAGTCGGTGCGCTGGCCACTTATTTAGTTGTAATAAATTTAACGATGAATTCATAAATAAAGATAAAATGAGATCTCAGTCTATTAGATGCTGATTTGAGGCTATCAGCCCTCCATTAAACCCAGGCTGAAACTCACCAGACTAGCCGGTGCGAGCATGCGCTCTCGTTCAGCTCATACCCACCTGGAGTGAATTAGGACCACATGTGAATATAGAATATCCTTGCAACGTTTGAGCTTCTTAGCTTTTCCGGGAAGCGAAAGCCACTTCGCTACAAATATCTTTGAAGTGTCCAAATCGTGGCGCAAGTGCAAATCGGAGCTCAGTTTAGGTATACATTTTCCGTATGGGCGACAAGTATCTTGACAAAACTTCAGCTACTGTTTTCCAGCTAATTTTCGAGTTGGACAGCGCCAATTGTGAACTCTGACGCAGCAGTATACGCGGTGTAAAAAAGTGTGCGATAGCTGAACTTTTAATCTTTAGCTCATGCATGCACAGAGAATATTATTGCAAAGTTTCAGCTTTCTATTTTGTTTGGTTCACGAAACTGTTCCCCGCCAAAGAAATTTGCATGCCTTTATTTGGAGGTGCGTAAGCGAGATCTAGCTTGTATGAGCGATAATTCTAAAGCGGGAGGATGACCTACCGGGTAGAAATATGCTCCAAAATTTCAGACTCCGAAATTTCCCGGTTACTAAGTTAAAAGGGGGTGACAAAGTTCACTCGCTACGCTACAGTGAGCAAAAACGCATACCGTCACGACCTCTTGACAGTATGCGTTTTTGCTCCCTGTAGTACAACCCAGCTGGAACGCATGAAATGAGCCAGTGCGATCATGCGTTCTTGCACTGTTTCGTGCAAGGTCGCAAGGAATCAGAGTAGCTAGAATTTGTGATATACTGGTCCCTGAAGTTCAGGAAGTTAACCGTGCAACTACAAGGCATGTTAGTTGTAGATGCCGCTTCAATGACCCGAGAAATGGAAGGTTGCTGGTGCGCAAAAAAGACTTCACTAGAACAGTTGAACTTGAAATCTTTTAGTTGCGCATGAGTAAGTAACATTTTCTCAAAATTCCTGCCTTTCAGCTTTTCTCATACCCGAGTTAATATTTTTTCCGCCAAAACTTTCATGTGCCCGTACGCGAAATATGGGCGGTTCTAAGGAACTGAATTTGAAGTCCTTTGGTCGCACGTGAGTATTAAACATCCCCTAAAGTTTAAGCCATCTGGCTTTTCCCGTCCCCGAATTAGCAATTCTCCTGCCAAGGTTTTCACGCACTCGCACGCAGGGCCCAGACGTGCGTGAGGGTTGGTGCCATCGTTCTTGGATGGCACTTGGCCGGGGAACCAACTGGCAAAATTTTGGCGCCAGAGCTTGCTTGGTTGCTGAGTTGAAATACCTGGACAGAAGAACACACACACACAGACAGGGTCACCGCAATATACGCTTTTGCTGTTTGCATATACGCAAAAACGCATAAGAAATTAATTATAATTACAAAATTTTAGGTATGTGACTCTTTCATCTTCAATTTATAAAAACAGACTGAGTGTATTGTGAAGTCATCAGTCAGGAGATAAGACGAGAGTTTATGATCGAGCTTGTAGCGTATAAACTCCAGCGTCATTGTGGCAAAACCTCTACTTTCCAACTTACTGGAGTTGAATCATTTATGCCCATAAATATGTGATCAATTGCTGTAATGCGCCAGTGACTTATTCTTGAACCTTCAAAAAGACCAGACACCCTGTCCTTGCAGGACAAAGTTCTACCATTTCTGGTGAATTTGGATATCGAAATGGTTGCATGGGAGAAGCTAATCAGGACGAATATTGACATGGCCAGGATTAGCGAGGCGAAGGTGGAATGGCTCCTCAGATTTAACAAATACAAGGTGACAAAATCAATATTAACTGAAAACCGTTTTGGCGTCTCTCTCAAATAAGAAGAGATAGCAACTGGCTTCTGGGATTATGAGGGAAGTTGTGTATGAACAAAGCCCCAAAATGCATCACAGAACTTGTTATGAGGGAACTATAAATTCGTTTTTCCCCACCATCCATTGCCCCTTTTCGCTTCTTTTTCTTCTAATTTGCGTTCCGCCTGAAAAATATATACAGCGGTTGCTGTTAAATGTGGAATTGAGTTTTGGCGGTCCATTAGGCGAACACATTTTAAACTGTTTTCTGCATCCAAAAAACTGAAGTGCATGATTTCAGTTGGAGATGCGCGAAATGCTTTCTTCCCTTTCTGGCCCAGTGTACGAGGATCTGGAAAGTGTGCTATCACTAAGGTATCGAGGTTGCTCCGGCGTCAACCCCAAACAGGAGTCGCTGAACAGTTTACGCCACATAAAAGATAACATCGAACGGCTACAAGAACAAATCACATTGGAAGAGACTGAAGCAAACTGTTAACGCTTGAACCCCGTTTTTGAAGTTCAGTTTTCGGTACGCCTAGCCAAGCTTGAGGTGTCAACACAACGACTTGAGAAGTCTATTGGCATTCGAATCAAGCAGACAGTATTCAGTGAAAATTGGGGCGGATTGTTAAACCACATAAACTGGACATTCCGCAACAAACACAAGAGTAACTGGAAATAAGCTTCATTCAAGAGAATAAAAGTCTGAAAACTTTGGTAATCATAAAAGTTGCATGGCGTTCCGATTGAGTTGGTCAGATTCTTGTGGAATCACTAATGGGTGGATAACGAGTCGTTCTGAACATTACCTTCGCATTCCCGTGTCATTCTGATATTCAGGATTTGAGCAGAGAAATAGCGGCTGTTTAGCTTTGCTTTTCTGAATGAAACTCTTGAAAGACTTATGGTCGAATTTCATTCTTTGAATTGGAAATAAATCATTTACATTTACAGCTAATATTGTCAGAAATAGGAAGGCGCGAGCACATAACACACTGACACATTTAATCTACAATTTTTGTCAGAAATATGATACAAAGCTCGCGCTTATTCAGATCATTTGGCACGTTATCATTGCTCTTGTCATTGATAAGCCAGTTGATTTGTACATCGTCTACCTGAAAAACACCACTGCAGCTTAGTCATAATTCTCTGATCTTATCCTCTTATAAAAACAGAGACAGGCGCTCATCGCCTAACTGACTGAAATTTTTATGCGTTTTTGTGGCACAACGCGCTTCTACTTCGTCATGGTAAAAAAAAAAAAATTCTGAAAGACTGTCATTCATCAAATAATCAGCCGTTCTAGTGGATCACAAAAACACACGACCGCACCTTCTACTACTAGTACCTGCTGCCTTATCAAATAACGGCAACTAATAAAGCTCGGCTCGGCTCGCCGTGGCAGCTGCACAGTTTGCGAATTTGCCCGCAAACCGTGTAGTAGGAAACGATGAAAGGAAAGAGGGGGCAGGGGCAGGGGCAGGGAAGGGTGGGGGACACGGCGGAGAGGGAGACGGGGGAGAGGTGGGGGCAGGAAGGGGTTGGGGGGAGGCTATTGTGCGGGGTGGTAGCCGCGGGCTTGGGGGCATTGGAGAGGGCGTGGTCGGGTGGGAATGTCGAGTGGCTACGTAAGGGGGAGGGGGTGATGGGCGGAATGAAGCAGGCTCGTGTTGCTGGTTTTGTCGCGGATGCGCGGGGTATGGGAAGGGCTTCGGAGGGATGTACACTGTAGAGGGTATAGAAGGGAGAGGGAAGGAGGAGGAGAGCGGAAGAGGGTTAGCAATGCATGAACACACTTTTGGGCGTTGGATTCGAGACGCAGGGAGGAGGTAGTGATGGGGACTGTGCACGGGTTTCGCGCGCAGGGGTTCGAGGCAAGGGAAGCGAGCTGGATGAGTACATCGAATGGCTGCGCGACGTAGATCCTTTGGCTGTTCCCTAAGCCATGTAAGAGAGGAGAGGGGGTGATGATTTGAAGGGAGCAAAGCAAGAAAAAGTACAAGCAAGAAAGTAAAAGCAAGAAAAAGTACCACCAAGAAAGAAAGTGAAAGGAAGGAAAAAGCAAAAGCAAGAAGGAAAATAAAATCAAAATAAATGGCCAACGCACGGGCTGCCCGTGCGAAGAAGCGTTTTTGCAGAGTTCCCCGCAGTTTTTGTTGCTACCGGCCTCGGTTTTTTCGGCAGATGCTTCTAGCAGATGCGTTTTTTGCAGAGCTCCCCGCAGTTTTTGTCGCTTTCCCGCAGGTTTTTGTCGCTACCGGCATCGGTTTTTTCGGCAGATGCTTCTAGCTGAAAGAATTTCAGTTCTCCGCAGTTTTTGTCGCTACCGGCATCGGTTTTTTCGGCAGATGCTTCTAGTAGAAAGAATTTGAGACCTTCCGCCAGAACTGTCAGAAAACATCCCCTCAAAATTTCAGTCTTCTAGCTTCTCACGTTCTCGAGTT